CTGCTGTGTTCAATTTCTCAAATTTGTTTTATTGAGTTGCGAAATTAGGTTTCGGATTTTRTTCAGTTAATGTCGATTTCTTGTTGATGAATTGATTATGAGCTGTTCTGCCCTTGTCTCCTCCYATGACTCAATTCCCACTCACGAATACAAATGTAAACAAATTCCAAAACCCTAATTTCTCACTCACAATCAAAGTCCTTACTTACGAATATACATATATTCATTGATCACTTCAAGGTTTTGGATCAAAAGGATGAGTATTTGGATCAGAAACTGAATGGATCTCGTCTGATTCTCGATTTTGTTGATGGATTTGAGTGGAGGTTTGGGGAGAAGATGGTGCATTACCGGACCAATAACGTTGGGCTGCAGGCGCAGTGGTTGGAAGCATGGTGGCCTGCTACCAATGATGAGTTTGCATTTGAAAGTAGGACCTTACCAAGTTGCATTTGTGGTTGAAGATGATATTGAAAAATTATGTTTGTTTGTACTAATATAAAATCTTGTTTTGAACTAATAATGTTACATTTGTTTGGATTAATATGAAATATGTAGTTATATTTGCAAAATAATTGTTCTATTCAGATTCTGCCAAACAACTCTATTTCATTCAGTACTAAATCATTCAGAGGGTTAAAATGGTAATTTGTTGTCATTCATAGAACAGTTACCAAACAACATTATTTCATTCAATACTTGACCATTCTGATCCTCTTAATCATTCTGACCACTTAACCATTCTGCACCAAACCATTCAGCAACCGCCAAACAGCCCCTTAGTCTTAAGAAATACAAGGGCACAATAAATAAAACAGATCCATCTTTAAAACCCCTAAAAGAATTCCATTACATCAGGACGAAGAAGTGGAAGCATGTGCACCCCTCCGCTTTGTGTAGGTCCTCCCCTAGATCATGCTGCCACCAAATGTATATATTTGATGATTAAAAATGTAAGACGAATGATTGTTTTTTAAGCGTCACGATACGATAAAAGTAACATTTGCCAAATAAATAATGATTTCTCTTAACCAAAAGTCAAGCGTGTGATAGTGGTTTTGCCACAAGCCTCCGATACATGCATACATGCATCATAACATATTTTCCTAACTATTTGTATTTATTATATTTTTCTTAAGTGTAAAACATAATGAATATTCATTTAAATGAATTATAAAATATTTGATAAAAGATTTTAAAAACAATTTTTTATGCATTAAGTATTGTTTATTGATGCATATTACTTAAAATTTAAGATTACAAGTAAATTGTGCGT